AAAAAAAAAAAAATAGTTTAACATAGTAAATTGTGCACACAAATTTTATAGAGACATACATACATATTTTTTTTCCTTTTTCTGTTCTCTTTGCATTATTCTAATTATGGCAAAGTGAACATCTCAGTCAGGTTCCACTCAGCCTTCAATGCCTTTCTAATATTTACTAACTCCTCCTCCTTTCCCAGCAGTTCCAAAGAGAAAAATCAACAACTGGACTACAAAGTTAGACTGTTGTTCTCTTTCTTTTATTTTCCCAATCACTGTGTGTGTGTGTGTGTGTGTGTGTCTCATACACTGAGTTTTCTTTTCACTTACAACCTAATAGCTTCCTATTGGTCTTTCTGCTGCCTTGGGTTCCTCCCCTTTCTGTAGCCAGAGAAATCTTGTTAGAACCAGTCAGCTCAGGTCTGTGCTTGGCTCAAGCTCTCCCCCACCTCCTTGACTCCACTCAGAGTCAAGGCCAAAGTCCTCATGGTAGTCACCACACTCCACCTCACATGCTGCACAGCTGCTCCTTGCCACCTTGCTTCTCCTGCCACAGGACCTTTGCACAGGCTGATTCCCCTGCCTGGATCTCTCTTCCCATAATTTCTGCATAGCTCATCCCCTTGCTTGCTTCAGGCCTTTGCTCAAATGTAACTTTCTCCTTGAGGCTCCCCAAAGCATCCTACTTGACAGTATAAGTGCACGCACACCCTCCACACTGCCCCTTTCCTTCCTTGCACTTTTCACTCTGACGTTCTCCTGTCAATCCTTTACTCCAATCCTCTCTCTCTCTCCCCCCCACTAGAATGTCTGCTCCAGGAGGCCCAGGGTTTTGTGCCCAGCTGTGTCCCCAGTGCCTTCAGTGGTGCCCAACATTTGCTGCCCTGGTATCAAGTGTACTTTTTTTTTTTTTTTTTTTTGAGACAGGGTCTTGCCCTGTTTCCTAGGTTGGAGTGTAATGGTGTCATCATAGCTCACTGCAATTTCCAACTCCTGGGCTCAAGCAATCCTCTTCTCTCAGCCTCCTGAGTAATTGGCACTATAGGCATCTGCCATAATGCCTGGTTAATTTTTCTATTTTTAGTAGAGATGAGGTCTCACTGTTGCTCAGGCTGGTCTTGAACACCTGAGCTCAAGTAATCCACCTGCCTCAGCCTCCCAGAGTGCTAGGATTACAGGTGTGTGCTACCATGCCCAGCCTCAAGTGTACTTTTTTCTTTCGAGACAGAGTCTCACTTTGTCACCCTCAGTAGAGTTCTGTGGCATCATAGCTCACAGCAACCTCAAACTCTTGGGTTCAAGTGATTCTCTTGCCTCAGCCTCCTAAGAAGCTGGGACTACAGGTCTCCACCACAATACCTGGGGTCTTGCTCTGGCTCCGGCTGGTCTCGAACTCATGAGCTTAGCAAATCTACCCACCTCGGCCTCCCAGAGTGCTAGGATTACAGGCATGAGCCTCCACACCCAGCCCAAGTGTACTTTTTAAAATGAATGTATTCAGATGAGTTGATTTAAAGACATGTGTTAAGGACACCATCAGAAGTGTATGCAGGTGGGATAAGAGGACTGCTTGAGCCCAAGAGTTGGAGGTTGCTGTGAGCTATAATGTCGTCATGGCACTCTACTCAGTGTGACAGCTTGAGACTGTCTCAAAAAAAAAAAAAAAAGAAGAGAAAGTGCATGCAGCAGAATCATTTAGATGCTGTCTATCAGTGGTGATGTCTGGGGAACATGGCCTAAGGTGGGGAAACAGGGATTGTGGCTGGAGGTTATGGAGGAAGAAGCTGAGATGAGTCAGGCTCCATGCTGGCTCACTCTGACAGAGAAACCATGTTGCCCTCTGGGGCCTGGTGGGCTTTCCAGCTTTCTGGGTCTCTCTCCACTTCCCTGACCATCTCACTCTTCTAATGTCAGTTCCCTCCATATGCCCCCAGGATGATGGCCACAGAGACACCGACACAAGGCACCTGTGGCAGCACTGGTAAGTGGGAGTCCAAGACCTCACTCCCCAACCCTCCTCCTGGCTCCCATCTCTTCTCTCCCACAGCTATAAGCCCCCTATTCTCCCCTGCTTGGGGGGCCTCCTAACACACTTGCCCCTGGGACCTCTCGGGGACACCCTAGACTCAGCCCACAGAATCCAAGCATATCAGGGCCTGCTCCAAACCTGCTCTTCCTCCTCTTCTCAGCGGCCACCAGCCCTGTCTTGTCATGCAGTGCATCCTGTCCACCCCCACAGGCCACAGCCAACCCAGGCTCCATCTCCTGGATCCCCCCAGCCCAGCTCCTCACCAGTCTCCCAGCCTCCAGGCTCACCTCCAACCCGTACCTGGGGAGGGTCCTTCTAAAACTCAGATCCTGTCATTCTTCTGTGCAAGGCCCTCCGTGGTTCCCAGTGCCCTGTAGACAAAGGACAGGCTCCTTAACATGGCCCTCAAGGCCTTGTGTAAACTCGTCCCCACTGTCTTTCCTGGCTCCGTCTCTCACGTGTAACATTCTCGTTCCCACCACCACCACCACCAAAAAAGGGTGGCACCTGTGGCTCAGTGAGTAGGGCACCGGCCCCATATACCGAAGGTGGTGGGTTTGAACCCGGCCCCAGCCAAACTGCAAATAGCTGGGCCTTGTAGTCCCAGCTGTAGTCCCAGCTACTCAGGAGGCTGAGGCAAGAGAATCACCTAAGCCCAAGAGCTGGAGGTTGCTGTGAGCTGTGATGCTACGGCTCTCTACCAAGGGCGACAATGTGATACTCTATCTCTTAAAAAACAAAACAAAACAAAACTCCTGTAGTCCCAGCTACTCAGGAGGCTGAGGCAAGAGAATCACCTAAGCCCAAGAGCTAGAGGTTGCTGTGTGCTGTGACGCCATGGCACTCTATCGAAGGTGACAAAATGAGACTCTGTCTCTAAAAAAATAGTGTGGGGGGGTGTGTTTGATCCAGAAAGATCAAACACAGTTCCTCAAACGTAGCCAGGTCTCACCACCAGGAATCTACACACGTCCGCTCCTGCCTTTCCATAGCTCTCACTTCTCCTTACTATCTCAGATGTCCCCTCCTCCGAGAAGTCCTACCTGCCCTCCAGGCTGGTGAGGCACCCCACAGCCTCCTAGCACCCCAGCTTTAACCCTAAACAGCCTGGGTTTGGGTCAGTCTCCCCCACTGGACTATGAGCCCCACAGGGAGTTGAGGAGACTAGGATGGGCCAAGACTGTCTTGGCCACTTCTCTGTCCCTAGCACAGGCTTTGGCAAGAAGTATTTGTACAAATGTTAGCTGAATGAATGAAGAGATGAAAGTTGGCAGCCAGAGCAGGCCTGCGGGTCCTCTCAGCTGGTACCTCCCCATATCGTCTATTTCAGGTAACAATGTCTATGAAGTAATGCCATCTCCAGTCTTCCTGGCTTCTTCCCTCCGTGACCCCGGGTCTGTGAACTCAGTCCTGGTGAGCCCATCCCTACCCACTCCCCTCAGGCCAGCTTCTAACAGGGGGACCCAGGGGGAGGGTCCTGACACAGAATTTGGGAACTTCAACTCTCTCTCTTTCTCCCGATTTTAAAAATCATAAAGAAAGAGACTGGAAGGCAACAGCCGGACAGAAATAGCATTTATCTCTGAGTTGTAGCAGCTGGTGGGTGGGTTTTTCTCTTTTCTACTTGTCTGTATTTTCTACAGTGAGCAGATATTCTCTTTATACCTCTCTTTATAGTGGCAGTAGGGGGGAGAGGGAGGAGGGATTGATAAAAATAAGCTATTACAATTGAATAAAAGGAGAAACTTAAAATGCTAAGGCAGGCTAAGAGCTTAGAACCACAGGTGAGGAAGGGGAGGCTGAGCGTTAATGAGGTGACTAATGGGACTCATTCGGGTAAGGGCAGTGGGAACTTTGGGTCTAGGACTGTCAGGTAACACCGAAAGTCAAGGGTTGGAGTGGGGATGCCGGAGGGAGCCAAGGGCCCAGCTCACCCATGTTCTTCCCTCCCAGGCCTTGCCCACTCCTGCACCTCTGCAGCCAAGGCCAGAGAACCACCAGTACCAGGTACGGAGGTGACAGGGGTAGGGGTGTGGGGGCCCCAAGGAGCCAAAGCACTACAGCCTGGGTGGGGAGGAGTCAAGATAGGGGAGCGGGGTCTCCTCACTTCTCCTCCACCAAGTCTCAAGGCCTCAGCTCCCAGGGGAAGCACCTCAGAGCTTCCAGGAGAGACCCTGGGCAAGTCCCTTCCCCTCCTGGGGCTGCAATTTCCTTCTTTGTAAAAGGGATCCAAGACCTTGAATTGCACAAGAGGAACAGGGCTCAGAGAGGGAAAGGGGATTACCCAGGGTCACACAGCCAGTCAAGGCCCAGTCAAACCCCATTGCAACGACCCATTCCTGACCCTGGGCTTCCATGTCTCCCAGACTCCCCCTGTCTATCGCTCTGTGTGTGGCTCTGCCCCTCTCTCATAGTCTCTCTCTCATTCTTTCTCTGTGTCTCTTTCCATGTCTTTGTTTCTCCCCATCTCTGTCTCTCTCTCATTCTCTCTCCCTCTCAGTGTCTCTGCCTCTCCCTCCTCTTTTTCTGGCACTCCTTGTCCACCTTGTTTTCCAGCTCTCCCGGGACCTATCTCTGCATCTCTCTCCCTTTCCATCCTGGACTTCCAGGGCTTCTCTCTGGGGGCGTCTCTCACCTTCTGTCCCTCTCTATCCCCCCTAGCTCCAACTGCCCCCATCATAATAACTCTCTCCTTTCCTCCCCTCCCCTAGGACCTGCTACATCCAGACCCTTCTCCCTACTGCCAGCTGGTGCCAACTTCCTGAAGGGGCCCCAGCTGGGCCAGCTGAAAATGAGGCCTCAGCCCTCCTCTGGGAGCCTCATACCAACAGAAAGACACATCCAAGACCAGCAGGACAAGGCCATCAGGAGATATGGGTCTGATGTGATGGACTCGGCCAAAGACTCAGCATCGCATGGGGCAGGTGTTCCAGGAGAGGGAAATTGCAACAGGCCCAGGAGCATGGCCCACCTTCAGTCTGTTCCTTCAAGCCACCTGGCCCAGGACACATGTCTGAGAAAGGCAGGCTCCTGCCTCCTCCAATGCCAGAGTCCCCCTCCAATCTGGATATTTGGGGATGAGAGGGGTTATCTCAGGCCTACCTCACAGACACCTGCCTGGCTGGTCTCCCAATTGTCTGTCCTCAACACCTAACCCACCCTGCTCCACAGTCACCCTGAGAGTCCCTTGCCCTGGGAACAAGACAGCCCACCCCACCATCTAGGACTCAGGGGCCCAGGCAGGGGGCAGAGAGGTCTGGCTTCACAGACCTGGGGTCCTAGATGAGCATCCTCCCAAGTTACCACAGCTGCAAGATCCCTTCCTTGCTCAGGCAGCTCCAGCCTCTCTGAAAACCTAGTCTCTGAGAACCTGCTACCAACTCTGGCCTTTGTCCCCAAGCAGAATCTCACTGAGTCCCTCAGGGCAGGGGTTCCCTTCTCCACCACCATCCAAACATGAGCTCAGCCCATCACCCTTTAATCTACTCATTCATTAGGCAATAAATGAGCCCTTGCTGTGTGCCAGGCACAGTTCTAGACTTTTGCAGCTTTGTCAGTGAACAAAATTGACAAAACTCCTGCTCTCCTAAAGGGTCACTCTGGCAGGGGCGAGACTAGAGAAACAAAATAAATAACTAACATACATGGTGATAGTGCACCAGGGAAAGAGAGAGGGGAGAGGGGCCAGGGATATTAGGGATCAAGATTTTAAAACGGGAGCCAGAGAAGGCCTCGCTGAGAAGATGATAGAGGAGCAAAGACGGAGGAGAAGAGGGAGGGAACCATGTAAGGCTCTGGTGGAAAAGCATTCTGGGAAGAAAGAAGAGCGAGTGCAAAGGCCCTGAGGCAGGAGCATGTCTGGCATGTTCAAGGAGCAGCAAGGCCAGTGTGGGGAAGGCAGAGTGGGAAGGGGTGAAAGGATAGGAGGTGAGGTTAGGAGATAGAGGGAGGTACGGATGGCACAGGGCCATATGAGGCCTGCCAAGACTGTGGCTTTTGCAGGCGGTGCGGGTGGACTGTGTTGGGCTAAATAATCCACCCCCCCCAAAGATATCTATGTCCTAATACCCTGTGAAAATTACCTTATATGGCTAAAGACTTCTGGCGACATTAAATTCAGGATTCTGAGATGGGGAAATTATCCTGGATTACCCTCCTGGGCCCTCACATAAACACAGGGTCCTTTTAAGAAGAACCCAGGAAGAATGAGTCAGAGTGGTGCAGAGACCAAAGTGATGCACTCAGAAAGCGATGAGGACCAAAACCCCAGGCAGCACCTCAGAGACAGAGTGATTCAACGTGGGAAAGATTCCGTCAGCCATTTTGAATTTTAAAGATGGAAGGGGGCCATCAACCAAGAGATACAAGAAGCTTCTAAAAAGTGGAAAAGATTAGTCGGGCATTATGGCAGGTGCCTGTAGTCCCAGCTCCTTGGGAGGCTGAGGCAAGAGAATTGCCTAAGCCCAAGAGCTGGAGGTTGCTGTGAGCTGTGACACCACAGCACTCTACCGAGGGCAACAAAGTGAGACTCTGTCTCTTAAAAAAAAACAAAAATGGAAAAGGCAAAGCAACAGAACCTCCAGAAAACAATGCAGCTCTGCTGAAACCTTTGATTTAGCCCAGTGAGACCCATTTTGGACTCCTAACCACCAAAACTGTAAGATAAATTTGTATTGTCCTAAGTAACTAAGTTTGTGGTAATTTGTTACCGCAGCAATAGGAAACTAATATAGAGGATGAGGAAGAACTTGCAGAAGGAGAAGTTGCATCTTATGCTGAGTCAGTATGTAAATACTCCCTGAGAGGGACTTCTCTATACACAGACCCCACCACACACCCAATGCCTGGACCATTGACCTCCTTCTTGGTAACATGGTCTCCCAGGTGATCAGGGCTCCCCACCAGGGGTGTGGGGGGGACTTTGTTCATCCTGAACCCACTCAAGGAAAACTTATGTGCCTCCCTTCTTTACACCAGCAACTGCTTGTCAAGCCCCAATATCCATTCTCTCCTTTTCCTCAGTAATAGGGTTCTTATGCAAGCATATGGCTGCCAGACATTAAAAACTACATTTCCCAGGTTCCCTGGCAGCTAGGTATGGCCATGTGACTAATTTCAGGCCAATGGGGTATGCAGATGTGACATAAGCAATTTGCAGATTGTGCCATTAAAGGGAGAGGATCCCTCCTCGCCTCCATTTTACCCTTCCCTTAGGCTGGAGAAAAGATGTGATGGTGGGAACTCTCTTGGTTCAGGTGGATAGGGCAGTGCCCTGAGGGAGAGCAGAACCTAGTTAGAGTGAGTTTGGCCAGTCCATGCTGTGGACAGAGCCACCGTGCCAGGTTAGATAATTACCTAAGAGAAAAAGGTTCCTCTCTTAGCTGTACTGGCAGTGTTTCCAAGACCAAGGTCTCTGACCCTGACTGTACTCCTTCTCACTCACTTGGTACCTGATAGGGCCGAATGTAGGGACCCACCCAAACAGAACCCAGGGCAGGGACACAGAAATGACCACACAAGTCCCACCCAGAAAGGAATGAGTGCACCAATCCCCACCCCACTAACCCTTATATCCCCACCCAGCCTTAACCCACATGCTGACTTCTTTTTTGAACTCATCCCGCTTGTCCCCAAGCCAATAAAGGCCGTGTTGCCCACACCGAACCTGGACTCCGCTGCCTTTCGTTCACATCTCGGAATAAGTCTCATTTGTGGTCCCGTACCTCTCAGTACCTGTTCCATTATGGACTGGATTGTGTCCCTCAAAATCCACATGTTGAATCCCTAACCCCTAATGTGATCGTATTTGGCGATTGGCCTTAAAAGAGATAATTAAGGTTAAACGAGGTCATAGGGTGAGCCCTAATTCAATAGGCCTGGTGTCCTCATAAGAAGAGGGAGAGGCACCAAGGGTGCACATACAGAGAAAAGACCATATGTGGATACAATGAAGGGGAGGCCACCTGCAAGCCCAGGAGAAAGGCCTTAGAAGAAAGAAAACCTGCTGATACTTGACCTTAGATTTCCAGCCTCCAGAACTGCAAAAAAAAATAAATTTCAGGCTTGGCGTCTGTGGCTCAAGCAGGTAAGGCACCAGCCACATACAACAGAGCTGGTGGGTTCAAATCCAGCCCAGGCGCGCCAAACAACAATGAAAACTACAACCAAAAACTAGCCGGGCATTGTGGCAGGTGCCTGTAGTCCCAGCTACTTGGGAGGCTGAGGTAGGAGAATCACTTAAGCCCAGAAGTTTGAGGTTGCTGTGAGCTATGGTGCCACAGTACTCAGGGCAACAGCTTGAGACTCTGTCTAAAAATAAATAATAAATAAATTTCAATTATTTAAGCCACCTCATGTTTTGTTCTAGCAGCCTGTCTGGGTCCATTTTCTGCTGCAGTAACAGAATAGTCCAAGAGCTTGGTACTGGCAGCTGGCAAGGGCCTTCCTGCGGCTTCATCCCATGGTAGAAGGTAGAAGGGCAAGAGAGGAGGGGAGTGAGAGAGCAAGAGAGGGCCAAATTCAGTTTTATAGCAAGGCCACTCTCTCAGTACCTAACCATAATGACAGTAATTCATTCACTAGGGAGGAGTTCTCATGACCTAATTATCTCCTATTAGGCTCCACCAGCCAACACATTGCTTGGGGATTGAGTTTCCAAAACGTGAACACATTCCAACCACAGCATAGCCCTTACAGACCAATACAGGCCCCTGCCATTCCAGCCCTAGAAAATGGGAGATCAGGCCAGATTCAATTGCTCCCGACTGTATCCTAACCCTCTGGGAGGCTGAAGCAGGTGGATTTCTTGAGCTCAGGAGTTCAAGACCAGCCTGAGCAAGAGCAAGACCCCGCCCACCCCACCCCCCTACCCTGTCTCTACTAAAAATAGAAAAACTAGCCAGGTGTGGTGGTGGGCACCTGTAGTCCCAGCTACTCTAGTTACACAAGAGAATTGCTCAAGCGCAAGAGTTTGAGGTTGCTGTGAGCTATGATCCCAGAGCACTTAACCCCAGGGCTGTTTCACAAAAAAAAAAAAGAAAAGAAAGAAAATAGGAGATCAAAGAGATCGTCTTCCTTCGCTACTGCAAAACCAGATTTGAAGATAGTAATAACAACAATCACTCCAGTAGACATTAACTTGAACTCTTTTCTTTTTTTTTTTTTTTTGAGACAGAGTCTCACTATATCGCTCTTGGTAGAGTGCTGTAATGTCTCAGCTCACAGCAACCTCAAACTTCTGGGCTTAAGCGATTCTCTTGCTTCAGCCTCCCAAGTAGCTAGGACTACAGGTGCCTGCCACAAAGGCCAGCTATTTTTGTTGTTGTTGTTGTGGTGGTCATTGTTGTTTAGCAGGCCTGGACCGGGTTCAAACCCACCAGCCTCGGTGCACATGGCTGGCACCCTAACCACTGTGCTACGGGAGCCGAGCCAAGTGTTAATGTTTCATTTCAGGGAATTTCAAAGACATTGAGGGTGAGGAGAGAGGGATGCATCACACTCTCTCACTTCATTTTGCTCATTAAAAAATATCCAACATTTGTTTTATATATATATTTTCTCCTTCCATTAAAATTATTTCTTCTTTTCCCAGATTCCTAAGATAAGTTATGAGTTTTAAAAATTCCACCTCTCTTTTAAACAAATGTTTCCATCTCAAATAAATTTGGGTGAGTTTCCATAATTTGCTGTTGTCATTTTATTTTAAGCTTGATGAATATTCTCATTTCCTTAATTGAACACAGTAGATATCTTTACTGTGTTTTTCTTTTTTTTGCAGTTTTTGGCCGGGGCCAGGTTTGAACTAACCACCTCCAGTATATGGGGCCAATGCCCTACTCCTTGAGCCACAGGCACTGCCCACAGTAGATATTTTTAAATATTTATTTATTCTGCCACAAAAATCTTCTGAATTGTCAGTGTTTTCCTAAGACACTGGAAATATTCTTTGCTGCTAAGTAAATGATTGATATTATGTTCCACCAATAAGCATTTATGAAAGATATCTGTGGCTTTCATATAAAGGTCAAATGAAGTTAAACCCTCTATTCTAATATTCAGCCACATCATTTCTTCTTTACCACTATTGGTACCATAAATGTCTGTTAAATTTTTTATATGAACATTTGTTCGTCTCAAATACCCTTTGTGCTCAGGGGGTTGGGCAAAACCATCTATGTAGAATGCAAGCTGTGAGGTGGCAGGGCCCCTGAGGCTTGGGAGAAAG